GACTCTAGATTCATGGACTAAGAAGAGAGGGACTAAGAGCTGGTGGCCAGGAGCAGACTTGCAGAATGTGCCCTTTGGAGATGTAAATTATTATATATGCCTGAGTGGGTTTTTTTGTTTGTTTATTTTTTTAAAAAGCTAAAGTGGATAGAGAGAAATACTGTTAACTGATTGGGGATTATCAATCATTGTAACTGATTGGGGATTATCAATCATACATGGTGGGGATTATAATCATTGTAATGAAACAAGGTATATGATTTGTTGAATGTAAAACTGATGATATGCTCTGTAAACTTTCACTCAATCCACAATAAAAACCTTTTTAAATAAAAATTTTTTTAAAAATTTGGACTGATTATTAAAAACAAAACACCGATGGTCTCCCATGTAAACTATCACTCTATTCACAATAAAAATATTAAAAAAATAAAATGTCATCTCTAGTTATGTACTGTTTTTTAATTTGTAGCTGTGAGATAAGAAAATATATGCAATTTATTAAAACAACAATAAGGAATGCCCTCCCACAACCCAGAACTACTAACAGTAGTAAAAAATCAAAAAAGTATCCAGAAAGTTGAATTTAACTTTTCATTTGGCTCTACCTGTAATACGTGTTACATGATACCAGAAAAAAGAATTACCAAAGTGTTCCCTCAAAGGCAAAGTGTAGTGATAGCTATAATTTACCTTAAAATTGCTATAATTTACTTTAAAATGTATTAAAAAAGAAAATGAGTGATGATAGAAGGATGGGCAGATTATGATGCAGTTTTAGTAAAATATTAATGGTACAATCAAGATAGTGGATTTACTGATGTAAAATGTAAAATTCTTTTAACTTTTCTGTATGCTTACAAGTTTTTGCAAAAAAAAAAAAAAAATTTATAGGTAAAAATTACTCCTACAAACAAACAGTTGAAGAAAAAGTTAAGAGCACACAGTGTATTAGAAGGTTGGTAACTTTTACTATTATAATCAAGATCGAATGAAAAGAAATGGAATTTGACCTATAAGGAGATTCAACTTTATACAATTGGAAGCATGTAAAAACCACATAAAATTTGAGGAAACGTAGAGATTAGAGAACAACAACTCTGGCTGTTGTTGTACCGTTGAGTCGGTTCCAACTCATAGTGACCCCATATAGGGTTTCCAAGAGCAGCTGGTAGGTTTGAACTGCCGCCCTTACAGTTAGCAGTACAGTGTTCATCCTACAGCATCACAACCAGGGCTCCTGAATCTCCTAGAATGTTAAAATTGGTAGGCCCTATTGTAAAATAGATTAAATTATACTTAAAGGCAAGAAAATAGATTAAATAATCTCTAGTTTACTTTCTTACAATTTTTGTCATCTTTAAAGTCTTTTCACAAAGTACAAATATGTCACATAACTTTTTATTTGTACAAAATGATCAATATTGTCAAAGACTTTTTACATACCACATTTGCGGGAACACTAGCAGCTGTCTTTTCTTCAATTTTATTCTCCGTTTTGGCACCTCGAAGAGAACTTGCAGGATCAGAAGACTTTTCAACCTAGGGATAAGTAGATTTCTGTTATTAACTATAAGCAACATATAATCATGCATAAATATTTAACATATAAATAATCAGAGAGTAAAACAATAAACAAGAAAATATTCATTGACAAGAAGAAGATGAAGACAAAAAGCAACCCGAATCTCCGGCAAGCCATCAAGGCAAGCAATCAAGTTCCTTCAGGACAAACTCCCCTCTAAGACTGAAATTGAAAGGGAACACATGAACAAACATGTAAGCTTGCTGGCGACCACATTGGTCTACTGGTGAGTGGAAGAGGGGGAAAGGCAGCAATGAAGAAATGGGCTGAGTTCAACCACAGTCCATTGACTCCCATTGACCTGGAGATGAGACAGAGAAGAGGAAGGGCTGGTTGGTCCAAAGTGTGGTTAGACCTGGGGACCATGGACAAGGACATAGCCATAGAGGGCTAGAGCTGAGAGTGATTCATCCAGCTGACATGAAGTGAGGGGAGATGAACAAGAACACCCAAACTTGCAGACAGTACCCATTTGTCCTAGCCTTGATGGGTTGATAAGCAGAACTCGATTAGAGGAAGATTTAAAAAAAAAAAAAAAAAAGTTTTTTTTTTTTTTTGATAAAGGAAACAAGGGTAAGCTGCTACAATTTGACAAACCTGACCTATACTCCTGGAGGTAGTAACTGTAAATACCAACAGAGAGGGAAGGAGTCTTCACATTAAATTATCAATGCTATCCCCTCTGTATACAGGGTAGATAGGGATGGGCAACTTAGACATTGGCTACCTAAAATGAGGGGGCGATAAAGGCACAAAGTGACTGGTTTACAAGGTTTCAAGAGGGAGTTTAGTTTAAGAGTGGTTGGGGGGAGAAACAGTTCCCACTGAATAGTTTTCATCTTGTCTAGATGGGTCTGGTGAAAAGATTCGTATGATTCAACAGTGAATAATTGTTATCATGACTAATTGTGACTGTCACAATTGTAAAGGTAGAAGTTTTGTAACAAAAACAGGGGAGTGATTAATCTTACAGTCCAGAAACAGATGACCCTAAGACCATCAAGGGAGAAGAGCACAAGCAGAATGTGGGACCTTATCCAGAGAAGCAGCCAAGGCAAAGACTGAGGCAGAGATGTGGACCTGGAGAGAGGGAGTGGCTGAGGACTTTAGATTCATGGGACGAAAGGGACTAAGAGCCAGTGGCCAGGAGGCAGACTTGCAAAATGTGCCCTTTGGAGGTGTAAATTATTATATATGCCTGAGTGGTTTTTTGTGTTTTGTTTTTTTTTAAAAAGAGGTAAAGTGAATAGTGAGAAATACTGTTAACTGATGGTACAAGGAGGGAATTATAATCATTGTAATGAAACAAGGTGTATGATTTGTTGAATGTAAAACTGATGGCCGGCCGCCCTATAAACTTTCACTCAATCCACAATAAAAATCTTTAAAAAAAAAAAAAAAAAAGCAACCTGAGAAAGCCTTGTTAAGTGACCATTCCTACCCTGGAGGACATTGAGAGGGGAAGTAGCAGATGACTGAGGGAAAGGAGGTGGGCAAGGATGCAGCACTACTCCATGCTAACCGGGCTTCCCCCAGGACCACCCTTGCTTTCCTGGTGGTGCAGCCCACTCCCTTCCTGGCACCAGCAGCCAGGCAGAAAGTTATCGGGTTTGAACAAGTGTCTAGCAGAAATTTTTTCACAGATCAGATGCATAAGAAACCTTAATCTAAATCAGAGGTGGGAAACCTTTTTTTCTGCTAAAATTTATAACATCATTCGCAGGCCATACAAAATTATCAACTTAAAAATTAGCCTACTATATTTGGTCAAACATTTCATTAACTCAAGGAGCTCTGGTAGCATAGTGGTTATAAATCGGGCTGCTAACCTCAAGGTCGGCAGTTCAAAACTACCAGCTGTTCCGCTGGAGAAAGATGAGGCTTTCTGCTCCCGTACAGATTTACAGCCTCAGAAACCCTGTACAGGGTCGTTATGAGTCGGAACCGATTCCACAGCACATAACAACAACAACAACATGATGGCTGGAACTGTGGTTGCATAGAAGGGCCAGACCAAATGATGTTGGATGGCCTTATACAGCTCCCCAACCCTGATCAAAACGATGTCTGTCACATCAACATGGATTTTTGCATCAATAAGGAGGTTCAATATGAGTTTATACTCAGTGAGGTCAGGGATTCCCTAGAGTAGTTCTTCTCACTAGAACTACAACAGTCTTCTGAAACAATGTCTGTAATGATTAAATCAGGGCATCCTGTAATCTAAAAGTCACTTAACTAAGACAACTTACACTTTCATACTAAAGGAATGTAGCTATAGTAACCATAGCCTGTCGTCACAAAAAAAATGTTCACCAAATCAGAGAATTGATGCTTAGCATTAAGAAGAAAGTCCCAAAGAAGTTTTTAGTTAAACTTGTTTGTGTCTTTCCACAAAACATCAACCTCTACCCAGGTTAAGCAATAACTATAACCCGTGTGTGTCTGAGGCCTAAACGCAAGGTTGAGAAGCATCGACTTGAGGAAGAGAAAACCTTTTATAAGCAACAGCAGCAGGCATTTTACTCATGCATGCGCCCTCCAATACAGACAGGCTTCTGAGCAGAGTAGAAGAGTCTCCCCACAGAAAATCAGAGAAACCCAAGAAAACGAACCGGCAAGACCTCTGGATGCTTCTCAGCTTCATCATCTTGTTCTTCATTTACACTTGATGCAGCAAATACTTCAAATTGGCTGAAATCTGCAAAATTGGGTTGCTCTGGTATCTGTTGAGGTGAGGTACTAGTGTGAGTTATTAGGCCATCTGCATCCACTGGGCGATGCACAACGGGACCAGAAGCCTGTAAGATGGTTTAGAATAAAGGAACAAGCATTTTACTGATGATGGCTCCTTGTCACATAGTCGTCGTCTTTTAAGAACTGTAAACTCAGGAAGGTATGCTATAGCTACTTTCACCGCTAAAAGCCTAAGTGAAAAGCCAAGCCACAAACACAAAACCCTCCAATTAATCAAAGTAATAACTTTATAAAATTCTTATTGGCAAATAAAGTACATCTGAGGATAGGGCTCAGTCTGCAAATTAATTATAGTAGCACCGCTTCCACCCCACCCCCACCTTCCTGGGCTGTATAATAGTTTTTCTTTATGATGGTATTTAAAAAAAAATTTTTTTTAAAGTATGAAAACCACTGTTCTCCCAACACTTGAGGCCAACTTGTCCTTAGTTCATCCTCCATACCTTTGCCAGACGAATCATAAAACCTTTACACTAGACACTGAGCATCTATTTTGTTCCCGGCACTCTAGATCCAGAATGCTCACTACTGATAAATACCAATTTATCTTCAAAGACTCTGCTGGAAAGTTACTTCCTTCATTGTATTTCCACCTCCTCAATGGTATACACCCAGCATTACTAGCCAGTAAGGCTTCCCCGAAGGAGCTCTGGATACGTAATGGTTACGAATCGGCTGCTAATCTCACAGTCAGCAGTTCAAAACTACCAGCGGTTCCACGGGAGAAAGAAGCGGCGGTCTGCTCCCGTAAAGATTTACAGGGTCGCTATGGGTCGGAACTGACTCCGTGGCACACAGTCACCACTACCACCAAGGCTGTCCTGAAAGCATTCTATAGATATTCTACAAGGACCCCTGGTTATGCATTGGGCTGCTAACCACAAGGTCAGCAGTTTGAACCTACCAGGCACTCCTCAAAAGATTTACAACCTTGGAAGGCCTATGCAGGGTCGCTTGACAGCACATCACTACCACTACTGTATTCTGATTGCTCTTTATAGGTCTGTCTTCCCCACTGGATTAAGCTTTTGAATCATCTGACCAACTTGTTGGGTTTCATAGACTAATGAACTCTAGTACAAGTATTTTTGCTGGCACTTTACATAAAGTAAATAATGGAATATTGACAGCAATACCTTTTATGATTAAGGAAGTATTTTTTAATCACTAATTCTTAATTTCATTATACAAACCTAACTCAGAAAAACCAAACAAACTGATTCACATAAAAAGTCACCAATCAAGAAAGCCAGTAGCTAACATCCCGCTCCCCCCCCCCCCCCCCGCAAAAAATTGTCTATCCTGAGAGGTAAAATTTTGTGCGGGTCAAAACCATCTGGGCCCAGCAGAGACTAAAGAGGTCACCTCAGTTCTTCACTGATGCAGCGACTGGTTCAGAGAAGGCGAGAGCCTTGCTCGGAGTCCATGCTGGACTCAGGACCTATAGGCACATCTCCCAGCCCTCAGTGCCATCCAATAAACTCCACTTACTGTGTAGCTTACTTTTAAACTTCTTTGACAAAAACAACAACTGAGATCATTACTCAAATTCTTCTATCAAAATAAGATTTAGCTTCCTTAAAGAAATACTTATTAAGACTGACCACTGGCATCAGGGATAAGCTAATGGCAAGGCTGGCGATTCAAAGCCGCCAGCTCTTCCCTGGGAGAACGATGAGGCTGTTTGTTCCTGTAACTATTTACAGTCTCAGAAACCCTATATTGGGTTGCTATGAGTTGGAATAGACTCCATAGCAGGGATGGGTAGAGCCTTAATAAAAAATAATTCGAGGACTGAATCAAATAGATAACAGAACATGGGGACCTAACAAATGATCTTCGGTAATGAAATCATGAAGACTAACGCACCTGTGCGGGCAGCGGTCGTGGAGGCACTGCAGGAGGATGGGCAACAACTCCAGCCTGTTGTTGTCCTGCACGAACATACAATATCAACACATCTTTTTAAAAAGTAGCAACAGTCTCCTCGATAACAGAAGAAACAGCTAAATGAATGTCCACACGATAAAGATTTCTAAGAATGTTGGTAAGTATTTGGAAGGCACATATTATCTTATAAAACTGTCTATATTCTATGGGACAGAATGGCCAAATCTCATGGACTTTCCTTAGATTTCATTTCTCTTGTGACTCTCACTGCACATGGCACCTTGACATGCTCCTCTGGTTGCCATCATGCAGGTAACTCGACATTGTTGGTTTTCTTTCCACATCTCACCACTCTTTAGCCACCAAATACAAAGACTTCCAAAATTTCCCTGTTGACATTAACACCCCACTCTACTGTTTCTATGTAAATGTCACTCAAGTTGACTATTTACCTTCACAGTGACTATTATCCAATACATTTAAAACATAGTCATAATGAAAAAATGTTCTTGTCTGATACTTTTTAATCTAGAATTTTCTTTTGGTAAATGAAAATAAATAAATAATAAGACATAAGACGATAAAAATACAAATGTATGTTTTTCATGGAACTTAGTAGCAAATGATAACAGATATTCTGGTCCTCTAGCCTACCTGTGGTGACTGTAAAGGTCCGATTCATGTCTAAAGATGAAGATCTAGAATGAGAGGGCTGTGGCCTTGGAGGGGGAGGTGGTGGGGCAGCGTTGTCAGGAGACGTTCCTGAATGCGACCTGCAAAATGGACTCCATTAAAGTTGCTCATGACACGATAGCAGAGTCTTTTTCTTTGTAAGCATTCAAATGCTGATCAACAGCAAAGGAACTTATCAGAATTTCTAAAATAAACCATTACTACAACAAGTAACGACGGCATTCTTACTTATTAAGATGGTGTGGCTATTGAAGGATTCTCTGGGCAAATTGCTGAATGATGCAGAAAGCATTCAAAGACGATGGAAGGAATACACAGAGTCACTGTATCAAAAGGAAATGGTTGGTGTTCAACCATTTCAAGAGGTAGCATATTATCAAGAGCCCATGATATTGAAGGAAGAAATCCAAGGTGCACTGAAGGAATTGGCAAAGAACAAGGCATCCAGAATGATGGAATAAAAACTGAAATCTTTCAAGAAAATGAAACGGCACTGGAGGCACTCACTCATCTATACCAAGAAATTTGGAAGACAACTATCTGGCCAACCGATTGGAAGAAATCCGTATTTGTGCCCATTCCAAAAAGAGGTGACCCAACGGAATGTGGAAATCATCAGACAGTATCTTTGATATCCCATGCAAGTAAAGTTTTACTAAAGGTAATACAGAAACGGCTACAATCATACATTGACAGAGAACTTCCAAAGGTTCAAGCTGGATTCAGAAGAGGATGAAGAAATAATCCGAGAAGCTGGGTTATATGAAGAAAACTGTGGTATCAGGATTGGAGGAAAACTCAGTAACAATCTGCGATATGCAGACGATACAATCTTGCTTGGTGATAGTGAAGAGGACTTAAAATATGTACTGATGAAGATCAAAGAGCACAGCCTTCGGTATGGACTGCATCTCAATTTAAAGAAAACCAAAATCCTCACCACTGGACCAATAAACAACTTTCTAATCAACAGAGAAAAGGTTGAAGTTGTCAAGGACTTCATTCTTCTTGGATCAACTATCAACACTCACAGAAGCAAAAGTCAAGAAATCAAATGACAGATTGCATTAGGCAAATCTGCTGCACAAGATGTTTTTTAATGTGTTGAAGACCAAATGTCAGCTTGAGGATTAAGGTGCACCTAACCTCATATGCATGCGAAAGTTGGACAGTGAATAAGGAAGACCAAAGAATTGATGTATTTGAGTTATGGTGTTTGAGAAGAATATTGAAAGTGCCATGGGCTGTCAAAAGAACAAACAGATCTGTGTTGGAAGAAGTGCAGCCAGAGTGCTCCTTGGAGGACAGGATGGCCAAACTTTGTCTCTCATGCTTCGGACATATTGTCAGGAGGGACAGTCGCTGGAGACGGATATCATGTTTGGTACGGTGGAGGATCAGAGAAAAAGAGGAAGACCCCAAGTGAGATGGAATAGCAAAGTGGCAATATAAATGGGCTCAAGTGTGGTAACAATTGTGAAGTTGGACCAGGATTGGGCAGTGTTTCATTCTGTTGTGCATAGGTTTGCTATGAGTCGGTACCAACTCGATGGCACCTAACAACAACAACATAATATGGCATATAATTAATTTTTTTATAGATCTACAAAGTCAAATTTTGATCTTGAATATATTCCACCTGAATTTAGAGACCATCTGAAGAACAGATTTCATACATTAGACACTAACGACTGAAAACAAGTAGAGTTGTGGGATGACATAAAGAACATTACACACAGGGAAAATGGGGCCATGAAGAAGACAAGAAAGAAGAAAAAGACCAAAACGCATGTCAGAAGAGACTCTGAAACTCACTCTCCAGCACAGAGATGTTAAAGTAAATGGAAGAACAGAGGAAGGAAAAGAGGTAAACAGATAATTTCAAAGGGCAGCTCAATAAGACACAGTCAAGTAATATAATGAAATATGCAAATATCTGGAGTTAGAAAAACAAAAGGGAAGAAATGCTCAGCTTTTCTCAAGCTGAGGGAAATGAAGAAAATTCAAGCCTCAACTTGAAATACTGAAGGATTCTATGGGCAAAATATTGAAAGATGCAGAAAACATCAAAAGATGTAAGGAATATATACAGCCACTGTACCAAAAAGAACTGGTTGATGCCCAAACACTTCAAGAGGTAGCTCATGATCAACAGCCAACGTTACTAAGAAAGAAGTCCAAGCTGCATTAAAGACACTGGTAAAGAACAAGGGTCTTTCTGGGAGTTCATGGGATACAAACTGCAATCTTTCAACAAATGATGCAGCACTAGAGGTAGTCACTCATCTATGCCAAGAAATAAGGAAGACAGCTACCTAGCCAACTGATTGAGAGAGATCCCTATTTATGACCTTTCCAAAAAAAGACGTGGAATGTGGAAATCACTGGATAATATCATTAATATCACATGAAAGTAAATTGTTGTTAAAGATAATTAAAAACCGACTGCAAGCAACAGTACATTGACAGGAACAGCCCAAGGTTCAAGCCAGTTTCAGATGAGGATGTAAAACAAGGACTATTGCTGTTACATCAGATGGATCTTGGCTGAAAGCAGAAAGTTGTTTGCCTGTACTTTACTGACTATCAAAGGCTTTCAACTGTGTGGCTCATGACAAGTTAATGAACACTGCAGAGAATGGATAATCCAGAATACTCAATTGTACTCATGAGGAACCTGTATACGGATCAAGAGATCTTGTTTGAACAGAACAAGACAACACTGAAAGGTTGAAAACTACGAAAGGTGTGTGTCAGGGTTGTATGCTTCTACCATACTTATTCTGTCTGTTCAATCTGCACTCTAAGCAAATAATCTGAGACACTGAATTAAATGAAGAAGAATATATATAGCATCAGGATTGGAGACCAACTCATTAACAACCTGAGATATGCAGCCGATACAACCTTACTTGCTGAAAGTGAAGAGGACTTAAAATATTTACTGATAAAGATCAAAGATCACGCAGGTTGAACCTCAATGTAAAGAAAACAAAAATCCTCACCACCGGACAAACAAAAAACATCATGCGAAATGAAAGAAAGATTTACGTTTTCAAAGACTTCATTTTGCTTGGATTCACTATGAAACGTTAAGTAGCAGTCATGAAATCAAACGATGTATATGCCATTAGGCAAATTTGCTGCACAAGACCTCTTTAAAGTATTGAAGAGCAAAGATATCAGTTTAAAAACTAAGGTGCGCCTGACACAAGCCATGGTATTTTCAGTAGCCTCATATGCACGTGAAAGTTGGACAATGAATAAGGAAGACAATGGAAATACTGATGCATTGTTAGTTATGGTGTTAGAGAAGAACATTAAAAGTACCACGGACTGTGAGAAGAACAAACACATCTGTGTTGGAAGAAGGACAGACAGAAAGCTCCTTAGAAGCCAGCATGGCAGGACTTGTTTCTAATACTTTGGACATACTAAGGAATGAGGACAAGCAGTAAAGTGTTAACTCTCTTTGGAAACTCATTACTAGTCACTCTCAGGTATGTGGCAAAGGGGCAAACATTCCATGCGCAAAGAGTGAAGAAGAAAGATGCATCTGCCCCTGACGTGTCAGAAAGCAGACAGTGACGTCTTTACAGACAATTCCCTTATCACATTCTGCCCACAACCTACAACTATTTGTAACTGTGCCTGCAAGGCTGTATATAAACAGAGCTCTTCAGGATGGGTAGACAGTTCAACAGCAGGCTCTACATCTAAATGGCATTTTAAACCAATTATTTTGTTACTGGCCATAAAGCTGTAACAGGAAATATGCACAGTAAATACTTAAACACACTGGTTAGCTGCAAAAAAGATTCTAATAAACTTCTGCAAAAAAGACGTCATCAGCTGTTTTTAAATTTTCCACAAAACCACCACGAAGAAAATAAGCGTTATTTTTCTATTAATGATGACTAGAATCAGAATTACATACTTGGGTGTTTCACTGAAATCAATAAACAGATAACAACCTAACAGCCTTCAGAAAAGAGAATAAAATGTAATTGGTGCTAAGAAATTTTAAAATACTAAAATGCAACGAAATACCTTAACATGCATTTATTGACAGAAGTACTGACCTTTGACGAGTAACATTGTTCCCGATCTGTTCTGGGTCAGAAGTAAAAGAGTCTGAACTACTGTATCCATCTGTTGATAAATGCAATAGATCCTGTTTAATAACAGTTATTTCTTTTTTACTCTATATACCCCAAACAATATAACTGATACCCTTTTTTAAAAAAAAGAGTGACATTAAGATATTGGTTAAAAGTCTGAATTGGTTATTATCTTGAAAAAGTTAAACTATCAATAAAATAAATCACTACATATTCATACAGCAAAATACTATCAGTCAGGATAAGTTAAAGTCTAGAAAAATCATTATTTAATGACAGAAATGTTCAAAATAAGCTGCATGAACAAGCTATATACAGTCATGTTATAATTTAATTTTATAAACATTTATCTGTTAAATATGCTCACAGTGATGAATAAGGCTGACACTGAATGTTAACCATGGTTATTTGTGGAAGAATGAACTACGTTACCAGAGCTCCTTTAAACAAAATGGTATTTCTTTTCCCTTTTACAAATTATTTACAAATAATTCCTGTTTTTGTTTTCATTTATCTGTATTATATTTGTACAATAAATGTGAATTACTTTATTACTGCCTTCTATTACATAGGTAAGTAAATTCTACACTCTTTGCTTACAGAATGTAGCCAGAATCCAATCAGCTCTCAGCACTCTCACTGTAACACTCTACACCAAACTGGCAATCTCTCATCTGAATTCTTATAACCCTCCTCTACTGGTCTCTCCCTGCTTGAATGTTTGCCTCTTTCCAGCCTATTATCAATATAGCAGTCAGATTTATCCAGGTGAAAAAGAACAGTTAGACCATGTCACTCCTTCATGCAAACCTTTTGATGGCTTTCATCTCACTTGGTAAGTTAGAGTCATTTCACTGTTACAGGATCACCACCCGGTGCTGCAGCACAGCCAACACAAGCCCACTAATTCTGTTCCAGAGGCTTCACATCTGCTGTTCCCTGTGACTTCATGCCCTTCCTTCAAATATTGACAAAGCAATGCCCTCGCCTCCCCGCTTCTAGTCTTTAACTTAAATTTGGAAAGTCCATGTTTAACTGTTGTTGTACCCTGTACAGGGTTTCCGAGGCTGTAAATCTTTACGGGAGCACAAAGCCTCATCTTTCTCCAGCGGAACAGCTGGTAGTTTCGAACTGCTGATCCTGAGGTTCGCAGCCTGGTTCGTAACCACTACGTTACCAGAGCTCATTTAAACAAAATGGTATTTCTTTTCCCTTTTACAAATTTTATTTTTGTCCACTGTGTAAATTACTTTCAAACTATGTAAGTTACTTTTATTTCTGCTCCCTTCTCCACCCTCCCGGAGAATGTAAGTTTCATCACAGTAAACACACATATTTTTCTGGTTTGTTAACTGATACAGCCAGTGCTTAGAACACATCTTGGCCACAGTATCCAAAATCACTGGATAGATATTGGATGGATTTAACATATAATATTCCTGTGAGAAACAAACAAAACAGCTACTGGGGAAGAGCCAATGGGTCAAACATGGCTACAATGAGGGATGGCAGAAGGACGGCTGTCTTGAAATGGGTTCAGAAGGCAATTGGTGGAGAACCATTTATTCACACAAGGAGGGTGGGGTGTCTTAAAAGGCTGACTATTCTCTATTTTGTTTAGTAAAGCTAGTATGAAGGAGTTACACATTTGAATTATTCAGAGCCTAAAGCTTAGAGCCCTGGTCTGGTGCTGCAGGATAATGTACTGGATCACAAGGTCAGTTTGAACCACAGAATTGGCGGTTCAAATTCACCAGCTGCTCCTCAGAAACTCTATACAGGGTTGCTATTAGTCAGAATCGATTCGACAGCACTCAACAACAACCAAGCTAAACTTAAACTTTAGAAGAAAGATGTCATGTTAATTTTCATTTACCTGCAGTATTTCCAGAAGCAAATTTCACCGATGAATTTATCTTATTTTCTTCTGAAAGGTCAGGTGGTTTCACAAGCAATGGACTAGTGGGATTATTATGATCTAGAAGACATTTAATATGTAAAATAAAAGATATAGATGATATTTGAATCTACAAATTCATAAACTACAGATACATGATTAGAATCCATTTATATATTCCAAAGAAGTGAACAGTGAATCCAGGGAATAAATTAAAAATAAATAACTGTAAACCTATTTATATAGAATGCTATCTTCTGCTGTGAACAGAAGAAATTTCATAATCATATTGACCAATACAGACAGTAAATCTACTTTTGGAAATCCTTAACTAAATGTAAAATAAGGGAAAACATCTTCTGAAAATTCAAAGCAAAATTTAACATAGACTTTATTACTTCAAATATAAATTCACAGCAGTAACTATAAAAACTGACAGTGCTTTTAAAAAGTCATATTTACCAAATGTACTTATTTTTAAAATTTTTATAATTTAAATTATTTCCTTAAAAAATATACATACATGCACACAGAGAGAAAGAGAGAGACTATACACACACACACACACACACACACACACACACATATATTATATATAAGCTCTGTTTGAATCACAAGGTTGGTGCTCCCTATGTAAGGTTACTATGAGTCAAAATGGACTCATCAGCACATAGCAATGAGCCCTGGTGTGGTGCTGTGGGTTAATACACTGAGCTGCAAAGTTTGAACCATAAGGTCGGTGGTTCAAGCTCACCTTTCGCTACTCAGAATCCCTATAGAGGGTTGCACCATGGGTCAGAACCACTTGACGGCACATAACAACAACAAATATAATATAATATTTTATATAT